AATATCTTCTAGTTTTCTCTCTTTCTTGTAGGGATAAATAATTGCCCTTCGTAGTTGATTTAATCTCCTACTTAAGGTAGGCTTAAATATGCTTTGGATGTGATTTATTTCCCTTTCCTATAAGAATCTAATTCCAAGTCTAAGTGAGAATCTGCATCAAAGTTTGAGATCTCTACACCTGCTGCCCTTTGTTGCGAGCAGCCCAGCAAGTGTGGGGGCATTTGTGGAGCAAAAAATAATCGAGAAAAATATGGAGGTGACATATGGATTCTAGGGTAAAAAGACAAAATTACCCTTAAGGCACACTGAAACTTCTACGCGCACGCAGCGGACAATCATGTCTCAATCAAGGTAAAAAGTAATCAAAATATGTATTTATTCAAAACATATTTCATCCATCCTCATCAAAATCTCCCTCACAAGGTAACTCCCAAATTATTTCTCCTAAATTATATTAATTGATATTAATTTATTAATTAGCTAATTAATTGTAAATTACACCCCAAAAACCACTAAATGTGGCTGGTTCCCATCTTTCCCAAATGGGTTGGCCACACCCCTACAAATACCACCCCATTTTCTCCAAAAACCTAGGTTGAATCCTCTTGCAAAATTCTCTAAATTCTCTAAACACTTTTCTCTCAAAATTCTAACTTTGACATTAGAGGTTCTTCGGCCAAAGCACCCCCCATTCATCGTGGGCGCGTGAGGCTTTTGGCTTGACCTAAGGGGTTAATTGTTTTGTAGGTGCAATTCTGTCCAAGAAGAAAAATGCGGAAATTTGCATCCACAATATATATTATGAAGTATTGGAACATAATGAAAACATGAGGAGCAAACATCTAAGATCTGTTTTTTTAAGTGTTCAAAAAGTCTCTTACAATTTATTGGAAACAATAAAATGCAAAAGGAAAGTATTCTATTTTCTATCTAAGTGAGTTGAAACCTAGGCAGGTGTCTAGGCAGGTCTAGGAGGGCTAGGCGGGTGCTTAAGCGGTCTAGGCGGGTGACTCAGCAAGTCTAAGCACCATTTCTTAATTTTCAAACGCCTAGGCATTAATCGGGGCAGTGGCCAACCCCCTAATGCCTAGGCGGAGATTTTTAGAATAGTGTCTGAAACTAATTCAAAAACCAGAAATTAAGGAAACTAAATTACTATCAAAAAACAAAAAAGAGGAAACAAGCAAAATCATAAAACCCATACGAAATCCTTTCGAATTTTCAAATCTTATCATCGTTTCGCAGTCAAGGTTCCAAAACCCAGATGAAATCTTTCCAAATTTGTGCGGTGGTGGTGCGAGTGGTCTCTGTGAGCATCTCCAACTATCAGACAATGAAGGTGACAGGGAGAACAAATCCGGTTGGTGAAGATGAAGATATGGCGAGAAAAGGAGACGGAGAGAAGGGCGATGGCGAGGGAATTTAAGAGAGAGAGCCCAGTTCGTGCGAGAAAGAAGGAAAGAGACCCGACTAATAATACGCCCATTTTGGACAGTTTTAGTAAGAGGGTGTATGTTGTGTAAAATAAGTGGATCAAATTAAATTAGTCTGGTCCAATTTAATACGAGAAGGTGCCAAACACCCAACTCCGTATTAATAGTCCTATCCGGTTTTATATATGGTATACCAAACGAGACCTTTAAGTTGAATGCTTGAGTAGTGTGGTACAAATCTTTGAGTAAATGACTAATTACTCGCCTACAATGTACAAATGATTTTCATTTGCAACAAGACTCTGCACTACGTAAGCAAAATGACGTATGTGATCTACTATAGATTAGACTTATAATCGGAACTGTAGAATTCAACACTGTATCTACTACGATGTTTGAAACTATTATAATAATAAAATCAGTAATATTACTTAGGACATTTTGTATGCACAAATTATTAAATCAAATAGGAAAACAAAACTGGGATTACTTGATAAATGACTGAGCTAGTTTAAGGGTTGTTTGGTAATATGGAGAGTAACTCAATTTTTTATAAATCCTTACATGATTTGGTACTCACTGACGTCAAACTTTGTCCTCACATTCTCACATACCCTCTCATGGATGACGAATTTTCAAGCCAAACACGTGAACAATACAAATGGAGTGATGTAAAGCACGTGTAGCCGTTGGGCTTCACACGTGAGCCAACATGTTTTGATACCATGAAAAAAGTTGAGGTTCCACCACAAAACCAAATGACAATATAGATAGTAACTCAATCTCTTACAAGTCCTCGCATGCTTAATTGGTCTCTCACATATGTGGGAATTTGTGCTCACATTTTCACACTTAGATATGAAGAAAGTGTATAGGGCAAGAGCTTATCGTGTTTCTTGTACGGCTACATGCATGAGAATGCACCCCACTAAAGCATAGCTAAAGAGCCTTTCTCCTCCACTTACTACGTGTTTAAACTGACTGATGTACCTGTTTAGTGCTTTTAATAATGGTTAATAATTGAGATCAATAGAAGCTGGACCAGGGTTTAGGACTTGAGTGATGAATTTACATACAGATGCAGTTGCCGTCCACAAAGATGTCAACATAACCTTTCTTAGAGCTCCTAATGACTCTACTAATTAGTAGAGGGGAGTTATTAGCTACTTCACTAAACTGTCTTTTGGGAACTACCATTCAAATTCCAAATCAACGGATATAAGAGAAGGAAATTTAGATGGATTGGACTTGAAGAATAATATTCAACTAGAGAATGACCCTTATTAGGTTTGGAGGAAGCTCTCTTGGATCAAGTTTTAGGTCTCATGAGTCGTAGTTACTGTGGCTATGCACTTGTACGCTCTCATCGCTTTCAACTAAAATCTTAACTGCGGAACCTCTTTAGGATTGATTAGTTTGGCGGGTAGGATTAAGTAGTGGGAGTGGATTAGTTGTGTTTTTGTCTCTTTATGTAAAGTCTAGGGTTTAGGTAGGGAGTGGTCTCAATTGAAGATAAAATTAGTTAAGGTGGTAGTATGAACATGTGAATAGAAGACGTACATATACTCCGGTTAGAATATGCGATTATGAGACAAAGACTTTGACAAAGGGTAGAGGACGATCTAGGGAGACTTGGAAGGAGAATAAAAAAAAGAAAGATATGGAGTACTTGGTACTAACGGAAGACTTGATGCAAAAACAAGTCCAATAGCGTTTTAGAATTCATATAGCCAATCTTACTTAGCGGAATAAAGCTTGATGGTTGTTATTGTTATTGTTGTTGTTATGTAAGGTTCCTTGTTTGAATCCTATCTGATGTATGGTACTTAAAAATCAACAACGTTGGTTGAAAATAATCAATACCACACTTCCATGATCATATTATGTGCATTTTCGTAGGATTACTTATCCTACTTGTACTTAATCTCACTACTTCGACCTTGTGGCCTCGGGATTAAGACACCTAACTCAATACAATATTCGGGGACCTCAACGCCATGGATAATGCTCATTAAAATTGAATTCAAAGAATATAGGAGAAATTAGGTTTTCATTCCTCTTTTTGTTACTTCATTGATTAAAATCTTATTTCTTTTTAATTTTTGATTAAGGTCATTGAGTATTAATAACATCATTAATTATTTCAATAATACAATATTTTTAAATATATTCCTTTAGTGTTAAAAATGTTACAATTAGTATATTTATATTTATGGCTATTTTTATCATATATTTTTATTTTTAGTTTGTACCCATTTTTAATTTGCAAACCTTTTTTAATTTGTACCAATTTTCGTTTTCAGTTTTAATTTGTACCCATATATATATATATATATATATATATATATATATATTTTTTTTTTGTATTTGTGCCCATGTGTTTACCTTCACGTGACATTATATAATTAATCAATGATAGAAAAATTACGTATAGTATATTTATGTTTTATGGCTAAACTTTGTATCATATATTTATATTTTTAGTTTGTAGTTTTGTACCCACTTTTAATTTGCAACTTTTTTTTTTTAATTTGTAGTATTTTCTTTTTAGTTTTAATTTGTACCCATGTATTAATTTCTTTTTGTGCCCATATTTTTTTTAAATTTCATTTGTACTCATAATTTTTTAGTTTTAATTTATACCCATTCTTCTTTATTAATGTACCAATTTTTTTCTTGTAAAATGTACCAATTTTTTTTAACACTCTGGATACATTCTTTTGCCATTTATTATTTCTTATTGTTACATAGTTTTTATCCATTTATTCAATCAAAATGTTTGAATTTTTTTTATTGTAGCCGTTTCTAATAGTATTATAATCAAGGATTTTAAATTTATATGATTATAAATCTCATAAAATATCAAACAATTAATGGCAAAACTATAAAAATATAAATAGTAATAGTAATATAATGAGGTGTACAAAGTTAAGGGATTTTGATCAAACTTTGAATATCATTAAGGTTTTAGTCAAAGAGTGTTAAGAACTAAGAACCGCATCCAAAGTATTCCAAGAATATATTACCAATCCATCCCCCTAATCATGTTTAGCATTAAAAGGAGTATTGGATTAACATGCAGAACTCTTTTCTCTTTCCGCACACCCTTATTTGTTATTTTGTCTTTAATGTTACGCACTTACAATTCAATGAATCCATAATCCCATATTTTCTCATCAAGGCGTGTGCTATCCACACATCTTTTTTTACTTCATACACTCCCTCTTAATTTGTGGACGTTGAATCGATTGAATTAAAGAATATCAAATGACAAAAATTAACAAAAAATATGTAAAAAGTAAAAATAAGTGCATGAATATCACAACCCTCTCATCAATGCCATACATTAAGAAGCCCAATTGTCCTTTAACTGGGAAGTTGAAACTGGGTCTGTTGAGCCCTGAATGGAGTTTTCACCCTTCAGAAAGCTTCTCACAAAGGCTTAAGTAATCGTGGTTGACCGTGGGCCACTATAAAGTCAAACAGACGGTACTAGGCCCAGATTGGCAGGCCCAATAGTACTAAACAAGATTGCTAGATGGAATTTCTTCTCATTGCTTGAGAAACACTTTGAGAGAATTTTATTTTTGGCCAAATCGTTTACCTTTTCTGTCCAATTGATGACAATTTGAACCAAGATTTGAGAAGAAATTGAGGTACGTTTCGATGATAAATGTATCAAAAACTTTCTTTTAATCATTTCCTGTAAAAGTGTCTTTAATTAATGTATAACATGTGTTGCATATGAAGGACTTTGTGTTGTCCCAATTTGTAGGATCAGAGCATTTCTGTGAACCCTCACCCCATTTTCTTGTAATAATCTTGACTTTCATGTGAATGTACAACCTAATTGGGCGTGTTGATATAAGAATTAGACCCCTTCTATCTACTAGGGTTTCATTCATATTCTTAGATTGTGAGAATACCTGCAATTACACAGACCCCTAGATTCGAGAGGGGGTATCCCAATAAAGACATCTCCATTTGGAGAAAAAAACTGGATCAATTATTGAAGAAATAACACCGTCTAACAGATACATGAAATCTCTTGTCTTTTGTATTTTTCATTTTATATATGATTTCAGATATGTGAGTTGTTCTAGTAGGACAACGTATCGAAGTTTCTCTCTATATATGATGTAGTTTCATGATCAATGCAACTTTACAAAAAGAGTTGGAGCAGAATTAGCTAATGCTCTCTATGTTATGGATGATGATGATGACGACGATGACGGGTTTCCACAAGTGGTTGGAGCATTATCAAAAGGTGATAGAGATGTAGGTGGGACGTTAATGGACTATTATCACACCCGTGGAGAGAGAGAGAGAGAGATCATGCATGGCCTCCTCATCAACCATCAAGGTTTTTAAATCAAGTGTATACACCCAGCACCTTTTCTTATCTTTTTCTTGTCCCTCTTTTCTTTCTTTCCATCTAATAAGAAAATAGTAGCAGCAGCAGCAGCAGCCATATACATCCTTCAAGCAGAAACTTCACAATTTTTTCGTACCAAAATATTAATTATTGGTTCAAATTTCTATCTTGTCACACCAGTCACCAGTTTTCCAGATCACCAAGTTTTTATTAGGTGCAAAATTTACGACTTCTTTCTTCTTCTCATTGTTTTATTTTCTTTGTTTCTTTCTTTTCCGATATAATTCAAAGTGTGTTGATCGAGTCTAATGGAGAGTGACGAACAAGTAAGCAAGAAGGACGTGATAAAGGTGGGGATTCCATCGGATCATCAGACTGATCAAGTCGTGTGCGCAGGGCTTATGAGACAGCAGAGCATGACCAAGAACAATTGCCTTTGCTCCCCGACCACGCATGAGGGTTCGTTCCGTTGCAGGCTTCACCGGGCCCCGAGCCTCCAGCGGACGAAAAGCCTGAGCTATGCTTCCCCCCGAGCCCAAGACCCAGCGTCTAAGGCTGGCTTCTAATGCAACCTACCTCTGCTCATCACCATGATCCTAAGCTTGTAACGCTAGCTGTAACGATCCAATGAAAAATAAGAGCGTTACTATATGTATTATTTATATCATATATGGCATGGCTCTTTGCTAAAGTTCGGAAATTTTGTATTTTCTCTGTACTTTGTAACCATCCTTATTTTGTATTGAGAATTAAAAAGATGGCATTTTATCTAGGGTTTTATAAGGATCATTCATTTATTAAGTGACATGGGCAATCGCTGTAAAACCTAGCACATCTGTAGTATAATTTATATAGAATTTCTTCACTAAAAGGGCGATCACAAACTAATAAGGCTCTCTGCTTTGTGATGGTCCCAAGGGGGAACGTCTACCGTACACAGTCTTACACTTGCTTTTTGCAAAGAGGCTGTTTCTACTACTTGAAATATATTTTGAATGAAATCTGGTTGGTTCTTCTATGGTTTGTGTCTTATTGCAATACTTGAAGCTCTGTGTGTGTCAATGTTTTTCTATACAATTCGACATTTACTTAAGTTCCTCATATAATGGAATGGCCTTACTAACTGAATGATTGGGGAAAAAAAATTTAAGACAATGAAATTGCAAAGTAAAATACATTTGTTTTCACACAATTCTGGAGAATGTGAAGGAAAACTGTAATAAACCATGATGACGGTAATCATATTGAAAATATTGAAAGGACAACGATCGCCGCCACAATTATGTTATGTGTCGTGTCACCGACTTAGCAAGTGTCCTCTACTAAGTTCAAACCATACAGGGATATTCGTAATTGTAGGTTATTGTAGTATTACCTCAACGTGCTATCCTGCACATCTCGCACATAATTCATTTGGCTTGTATCGAGCTAAACAACACCAAATTATGAAGCACCAAATCAAAGGTTACAAGTACATACGAGGGAAATTCCATCTCTCTCTGTAGTCTGTACGACTTTCCCCAAACAGTAAGATGTCTGTTTCTGCATGCAGAATTCGATCTCAATGATATATTGGCATCTGACTCACTATATTCCTAATAGCATTCCAACAAGACAATAGCAATGGAATTCCTATTGCTCTAATCATTTTTGGATGGCAAACATGGAACTTTACGTATCAACAGGAGAATGAAAGTGACCCCAATTTGTTCTTGCCGATTGGAAGTCTCAGTTGAATTGCCAAGGATGGTTAAAATTATTGCATGTAAAATCCAAAAGCAAGCAAGGTAACATTTGTCTATCGATTGTACTAGTTTCTGCAGATAATCACCAATAATTGTTGTGGGCGTCGTTGAGATTATTGCTAAAATATGAGGAAATATTCTGAATTGTATTTGTCTTCTCCATACGGAAGAATATAAATAGGATTACACGCAGCGGATTATACAAATTAAGTCGTAATTCTAGAAAAATCGAATTTACAATAAGTCAACTAAGCTCAATTGTGTTGAGCTTACCTTAACATCCGGCACCAAAGGATGAACGCGCGATAGCATAACTGCTTAAAAAGTCTTGAGCCGCTCAGTAATTTTGAATTGGATATTTACATTCTAACACGATCGGATGCTTGTATTGTAACATGAGCAACCTTTTAGTAGGTGCCAAATAGGCTTTGACATTATGATTAGTTCCATGCAACACAGGACCAGGTAGTTTGATGTCATCTTCAATTTGATAAAGATTGTAAAAAACAAGAAATTTGAGGTGAATGTCGGCCAGTTGATGGGGTATGATTGTTGTAAAGACCGTATTTGTAAAATATGAACCAAGATCCTCTCCTGAGCAGTTCCCTAGGGATCCTAGGGATCCCGCAATCATGTCCGTTCATCGTATATCGTGCGGTCAGAAATTATTTAAAACTTAAATTTTAAAATTCAAATATAAATAGTATCTAACGAAAACTGACCGCACGATATAAAATGAACGGACAAGATTGCGGGATCCTTAGGATCCCTAGAGAACTGCTCAGGAGAGGATCCTAGTTCGTAAAATATCATTCAATTTGGAGATCATTTTGTCATTTATACATGTTAAACTAATCAACGGTTTTAGTAACAAGTATCATCTTCACGATGAACTGTTCATTTGTGTTATGCATATGAATAGCTAAAACATCTCCATACTAACTAATTTTTTGTAGGATCAGGATCCTCTCTTGAACTTAGGAGGCTGAGCCTCCTGAGAATATCACACGGACCATTGATTTTAGATCAAACGGCTACAATTATTATAACTTTTAGAGGAGCCCTTTGTTTGTAACCATTGGATAAAAAATCAACGATTCGTGTGATTTGCTTAGGAGGCTGAGAAACATCTCCATACTAACTAATTTTTTGTAGGATCAGGATCCTCTCTTGAACTTAGGAGGCTGAGCCTCCTGAGAATATCACACGGACCATTGATTTTGGATCAAACGGCTACAATTATTATAACTTTGAGAGGAGCCCCTTGTTTGTACCCATTGGATAAAAAATCAACGGTTCGTGTGATCCTAAGTTTAGGAGATGATCCTGATCCTTTTTTGTATATATAATCTTTAGATAATGATAAAAATAATGAACGGTTCAAATTATGAGCTCTGACGATATCGTAAATGATGAGACAAGTAAATTCCCCATAAAAGACCCAAACATTATTCATCTAGATTTTACTCCAGGTAAATAATTTTTTGTCTCTTCTTGTATGCTTTTTTGACTTCTTTACTTTAAATCCTTTAATGGTGCTTTGTTCACAGCAACTTGTTTCAACTTTGCAAAAGATTTCCCTAAACCAACCGAAAAAAAAGTACATAATTTTTCTGAGAGAAAATATAAGTTTCTATTATACAGTGGAATTTAATTTGCAGAAATTCCAAAACTACAGCAGTGCATTTAGTCAGGTACATGAACTCCCCTCTCACAACGCAGGAATAAAATCTGATTAGAAGGTGAGGATCCAATGGAGGTGCAGCTAGGAGACAGACAGGTGTTGCAGATTCATGGACAGTGACAACAAAATTGGTCCCACAAATGGTTTGATCTAGTACAACGAATTGAGATTTGCAGCAGCCACTTGATCATGCCCTGAAGATCTTCTTTCTTATTACAAAAGATTACATGACCATTAACTAATGCGCATTGGAATCCTTCTTAATTTTTGTTCCTAGTAAGTTTACAAGGAATGAGGGGAGCGAAAAAGCATAGTATTATATGTTGTTCTTCGGAATATTTGGATTACCGCATTCCAGCTTGGAGAGAACTTACTTACACCGAAGATATCACTAATGGTGTGCTAGGGAAAACAAATTAAACAAAAATTACTCAGTTCTTTTCACTGCTAGTTCTGTTTATGGACCACAACTTACTGAACATTCTTTTGGGTTTAGCAGGAAGTGAGCAAAGAGATTTGAACTTAGAATTTCTCCCAATTCCATCAGGATGCATATCATTGTCGTCCAAATCATCGTCTTCATCCAGTTTCATTCGTAAAGTTGACGACTTTGACTTTGGCGATTTCAGGCCTGAAACGCTCCATTGATCCTCCGCCGGAACAATACTAGCGTTGCTTATAGAGGGCGGAGGCCTCGATGGATCAATGTTATGTGTGGCTAGCAGTGCCCTAATGTTGCTAGGCAGCTCGGTCACTTTGCCGCCAGCCATGGCGGCTTTAGCTTGCTCAAAGAAAAGAACTTGGACCACCACTCTTAGTGGGAGCAGCTCATTTTGTGCAGCATGCATGCAGACCTCCATTGAGAGCTTTTTGCAGTCTAGAATTCTGCAAAGCCTCTTCCTTTCACTTTTGTTTAGGTCCGGATGTGCCTGATTCGAGGGCATAACAATAATTAGCGAATTTTCTATAAGTAACATCAATAAAGACCAACTCAGAGCATAGAACAAAATTTAATGAAAAGAAATTATGATTAATTATTATGCTATTGAAAATGTGGACTCACCCCTTCTAAATTTCCAGTGGATCAACCTAATCCTAACTTATAACAAGTTGTGATGATGACAAGATTTTAAGGTCAAGAGAGTTGGTTATCTAATGGTGTCCCACATTTGGAAATTTGACAATGAAATATACCTAGAAATCTAACACCATAGTGGCCCGTCCATCGATGGATAAAACAGATTGTCAATATGTTATGGATAATAGTCAATGTTATTGTCGTCAAAAAATGTATAGACATGTTATATTTTCATTTTCGAACAGACTGTCAATATGCTATAGATAATATGTCAGTGTTATTGAGTAGACATGTTATATCTTCGTTTATGAACGTCCTGTGCAGATATTTTGTAAGACAGTAAAACATGAATTGAGGTAAATTTGAGATCAAGTAACTTGTTATTACCTTGAGGTAAATGTCAATTGCTCTGTAGAGATCATCATGGTCAAGCCTTGCAAACTCTGGTATTGCCTCAGCAATTGCAATGAATTTTGAGAGGGACAGATTGACATCCCGGGCAATCTCCTGAAGATATACATCTATAATCTTGGCCACCTTCAGCTTCGAGCTATGTGACGCCGAGGAAGATCTCCGGCTCTCCTGAAACTCAAAATCAATGTTCTCCGCAGAGCGAGACCTCCTCCTTTCGAAACCAAGCTTGGACCTCGGAGGACTAGTTGGGGGGCTCTGCCCCTGCTGCAAGAAGTGCTCCAAAATTGTCATGACTATGTCCACATCATATCGCGTGTCGCTTTCGCACGACGCAGAGGGGATTAGCAAGTCATTGACTGTTGCATCATCCAATTGAAGCCCTACCCTTCTAGCCAACTCCATTTTTGAAGAAGAAGAAGCATTGAGAATGTTGGCTGCCTTTAAAAGTTTAAGCAGAAAGCTAGTGGAAGCAGCACCTTTTTCGACTGGAACTAAACTGACGATGGACTCCAAGATCAACCTATGCTTTGAGGTTAAATCATTGGCAGAGTCTGAATCCGAATCCGACGCTGCTTGTCGATGATCACATTCGTTTTTTGATATTTTAGGCAACCATCGAGCCGCATAAATTTTCAATGCATCTCCAATGAGACTAGAGGGAATTTTCCCACCAGATTTTATAGCAATCATAGTTCTCCAATACAAATCAATCCCCAATTCTGCAATGTCCTCAGCCCACCATCCCCTGCCTGCAGGCCTACCATTATGCCGGAGGCTCTCGGAGCCATTGCACGACACAATGTCATCTCTGCCCCTCCTGGAATAGCTGTGCGACAGGCTAACTTTGGAAGGGTTTGTGAGGACTTTTGTGGCAATTGCTTCAATGCACCTCGATGTGATTCCAAGCTCCTCCGACCACAGAGGAAATGCCTTTGTGCTCTGAAGCGTGGCAATTGAGTCCCTCCAACCGTGGAGGATGCAGGAGTTGAAGAACACCTCCAGTTTGTATATAAGGTTTCCCTTCTCGACGTCCTCGGTCATCTGCAGGTACTCAGCGGCACAGCGAGAAGCGACAATGTTGTAGGCGCTGAGAGTGATAGTGATGCCGTAGCAGAACTTTGCGCAGAGCTCGAAAGCCTCGACGCTACTGGGAAAGTCATGGAGCTGGATTATGTGGTGGTTTGAAGATTCTTGGTACTCAGAGCAGAGCCTCTGCAGCCTCAAACACTTGGATAACAGAGGAAACTGTGTGACAAGTGGAAAAAAGAACAATTTTGAGAAAACCCCATGTGTGACATTGAACTTAAATTACATCAAAACATGAACTTCAAGAAATCCCATAAATTTATTTTTGTGAAAAGTAGTACGTGTGTACCTTGTGAAGCAAATATCTGCTTCCTTTCACTTGAATTATGAGATCACTTGAAACTTCAGAGGAGACTGACCTGAATCGAACAACAACAAAAACAACAAAAAAATATCTTTAGTACCTCTGATTAATTGAACAAAAATAATTTTCATATTGAATCGGAAAATTCATAAAAAATCTTACCTTACAGCCTCAGTAGTGTAGAAAGTATCCGGCCGGGATCCAAGTTTCATAAACTTCATGGCTTATTCCTCTGTTTTCTTCTTATGTGCTCATCAGAAGCTCCTTAACAGATTTTAAACTATAATTTCCCCCTATTTAATTAGAGATTAAGTCAAAGAGAGCTCAGCCTTAAAAAAAAAAAACTTCAATAACAGAAAAGAAAAAGAAAAAGAAAAAGAAGGGTTTTGTTGGATGAGATATGATGATATATCGAAGAACAGAGGAAACCAAGAGCTATTGTTTTGTGGGTGTGAGAGTAAATGAGTTTTTATATATGTGTGTGTGTGTGTGTATATATAATCAGAAAGTTGTTTAAAATGGCAAAACTCAGACTCAGAGGAGGATCAAATTGAACAACAGCAAAGTCCAGGTCCTATCAGTCAAATTCTATACCCCATGTGACCTGGACATGCAAACAAAGAAACCCAAGTCACTCTGCAATCCCAACCAAATCACACACACACACAGCAAATCCCCAACAGGTCAATCAAATTAAAAAAAAACAAAACAAAACACTGAACTAAAACTGCTCTAAACCAAGTAGACAAATCAAGATTATGTGTAGAGAAAATCAGTAACGGAATGATCTCTCAAGATTGCAAATTACAGGGACAGAAGCTGCTGCCAAACACTGGTGGGTGAATGAAAACTTTTCCTAGAAAATAAAAATTTCCTGGAAAAAGTAAGGTTTGTGGTAACTCGGAAGGGAAAATATGGCATGGCTATGACAGCGTGCATTTTCCCATAGGAAAGTCCCACGTGCTTGTCAAGAGCCCACTTGCGCCCATCTCTCTTATGATTGCCGCACCATTTTTAAGGGAATTGTTAGCAGTAAGAACCCCTGCTCATCCCCTCTTTTTATTATTTTTGTCAAACACTATTTTATACGCAATATCGTATGTCTCTTTGCTTTGCAATTATTAATTTCTAAAAGGGAAATACCAGAGAGGGGTTGAATTAATTGAAAAACTAAAGAGAATTGTGTTTATACTTTTGAATTAAAAAAAAAAACAATATATATAATAGAGAAATATTAGCAATGCCCCCATGAAATAAAGTGTCGTAACTGCCCTTGTGTTTTGCTGCATTATCGAAACTACCCTTTTATTTGCATTTATAGTATATGGCCCATGAATGTGAAACTTTGAATATTATTGGTGTGTGACATGAAGAAGCATGCATGAATTATGAATATGATGTTATATATATATAATGGGGCAAATGATAGCTTTTCTTTGGTCCTAAACATTATTTAATTAATGGGATATAAATCATATTCCGTGAATTATGAATGTGATGTTATAATGTGACCAACTAATATCATATTTTGGCAGTTGAAGGTCATCCTACCACATTATTTCACATCGGATTATTTAGGGTTTGAGATTTTTTTTCTTTTGGGTTCATATTTGTGTACATTTCTTGATACAGTAGAATTATCAGAGAGACGGGCCATACATCCCACTTCCAACAACATCGATATTGTCTCCAACTTGATAATTATCACCTGCACAATCCATCAGGTATAGGGTTTTATTATAAAAGGTCTCGGTATTAGTTGGAGTGAGGTTACAATATTTAAACTCTTCTTTCTTTATTTTTCTAGCCGATGTGGGATTTCAACACGCCCCCTCACTTGGGACCCAATTAGTGGGTCACACGTGGGAGATCCACACATTGGCAACCACGTGGAGCCAAGGAGACTCACCCTACATGCGGGGGAAAGTGACCCACCATTATCGCGTGGGGCCAAAGGGACCCATCCATCACGTGGCAGTAGGTACGGGCACACTCCCTAGCTCTAATACATGTAGAATTATAAGAGAGACGGGTCATACGGCCCACTTCCAACAATATCGATATTGTCCCCAACTTGGTAATTACCACCTGCACAATCCATCAGATATGGGGTTTTCTCACAAAATACCTCGGTATTAGTTGGAGTATAGGTTAGGATATTTCAACTCTTCTCTCTTTATTTCTTTAGCCGATGTGGGATTTCAATAGATACATGATCGTAATAATGAGCTACTGACAACAATGTAAGGCCACAATAGTGTAAGCATACGATTTATACCTAGTCAGGGGATATAAACCGTACCTCTTGTAATACCAAAAAAAAAAAAATACATGAAAAAGAAGGGTGACATAAATCTTATCCCTCTAGAAATGAAAACAAAAAAGATACAAAGAAAAGAGGGGGAACATGAAACCTAACCCCTCTAAAGCCAAACCTAAAAGGTACAACACCACAAGGTTGGGAAAAAAAGCCAAAAAGTGAGACAACCTATATGTTGAGATGAATTTAAGAAGCAGAAGCCAGGCAAGCCAACAAAGTTCAAAAATAAAGCAGCACGAGCCGCCAGCGGAGAGGAATCATGCCATATCAAAGTTGAAGAATACAAACCCATGCTAGCAAAAGTATCTGCAACAACGTTTTCTTTATTATATATGTGAGAGGCATAGAATGTCATTTTCCAGACGCAATCCAAACAAATAGACCATTGTGCACGAAGAGGCCAAAGAAGATCAAAATCAGTCAATTCAAGAGTGAAGATAAGACAATGTGCCAACCCTGCTATTATGCAAACTCTACCCCAATAATAATTGGTGAGAATTCAACAAAAAAAATAATTGCGATTATCAATCCATTGGCATAAACTACCAACAAACTGACTATAGCAATCCTTGAAAACTCCTCCATAAGCAGTAGGACTAGAATTTCCCTTCGACAAACCATCTGTATTAAGTTCAATCCAAGAAAACCAAGGAGGAGACCAAATCACAGGAAGAATAGTAGGCTCCTCACAAGAGATAGGTCGGATCCCCAAAGAAGAAATGATACGGGTGTCAAAGCCTTAAAAGTGACAAGGAATAGATTTCCTACCATGAACGTTTCAAAATTGATAAACATGCAAATACAATGAAAAGAGATTGGTTTACGCTAAAAAAATAAACATATTTCGAGCTTTTCAAATAGCCGAAATAGTAGAAAGACCTGCAAAAACCCAAAAATTGTGCAATTGCTGAAAAAATTAAACTGTAATATTATAGAAAAATAACGACTCAAAAAACAAAGCAGCACGAGTCGTCGACGGATAAAACAATTTGAGCCCCTTGATATATGATCATATAAAGTTTGGGGCCCTTGGGAAAAAATTAAACTGTAATATATGATCATATGATTCTACTAAGTGACCCTTGGTAGTTGAACTAACTTCATAGAAAGTAACATTGGTGTTGTTTATCCATAATTTTTTTTTCTTTCAGTTTTTCTCTTTTGCCTAGACAAAGTTTGGGCGCGTTTAGGGCGACTCTCATATATGCCATATATCCACCGGAACTCACGAGAAATGCACCGATATTATTATGTTACCAAGTCCCAACACACTCTCAGGCAACTCCATACTCACTTTAACCGATATTATTGTCGTCCAATAACGGTTTAGCTTTATAGTGAGGAAGGACCAGAATCGCTTTTAGGATTTATCCTATGCGCTTCGTGAGGGTGTGAGGAGCATATGCTGCACCTTCCCCTATCATAAATGGTTGGTTACTTGCAAACAAATTATAGGTCAAATTTGTAAAGAGAGGTAGATTTATCAAAAGAGAAATGTCGAAGGGTTTGTCTACTTAAGTGTTGCACCATATTCAGGCATGATAACGGAGGAGAACAACCCATTTTACGTTAAGTCCCGATCAATGTCCTCCATATAACATAACCTAAGCTTTGTAATAGTTCGATCAATGTCCACCCTTTGTTTCATTTTGTTTTAATCCTTTGTGACAGTGGTCCATGCCTAACTCAAATTTAGGCAATTGGCACTTTGTGACATTTGATACTTGGGGCAAGTGGCAATGCCAAATATAAGAGAAATTTTTACGTATGTTGAGAACACTTGTTATGTGATGTATCACTTTACATGTTATAATATGAGTGTATGAGAATGACAAAATTAATATGTCTCACTTATAAAATATATTAATAACAAAATAGATACACATATTATAATTCAAATAAAATAATAACATTACATTATGGTGTTCTTAATAGAACGAGAAGTCTCTCCAAATCTAGGGCAACTGGCAGGTTCGATATTTTATCCGTGAGTGGAGGGTAAGGTGTGGAATGAGTGGTGCTGAATGCTGGTAAAGGTGATTGTGAGCGTAAGTTGATGTCCACCCTACGTGAGAAAGAGGGTGCACCACAAATGCCGTAATGGTCCTCTTAATGCTGCCCAACGGGGTGGCCAACCGACAATATGGGACCTCCAATAGGCCCAGATTCCTCTATATGCTTCACTACTTTTCTTTTGTACATGGGACCCTCATTGTCTAAGACTTGGGGCCTTTTACAGTTTGCAATTTTGCATGTAGTAGACGACTGCAGTTGCCAACCAGTTCTAAAATCTGAAAGGGTTTCGGCACTACACCTTCAGACTCTCACTGACTTTCACTTCCCTGCGAGATTCTTCATACTATAAATCCTAATAAAACCAAACCAATGATTTTCTTGTATGATTTCCTCCTCAAAATTTACCACCATTTCATTACCAAGTAATGGTTGGGGAAAATTATCAAGCATGCCACAAGTTTGATAAAGAGATACAAACTAAGCGAGAATTCATCACAGAATGTGAAAAAATCTCAAAGTTTAGTGAATGAATAATATGAAAGATAACAAACTCTTGCAACTTAAAAGTTCTTTATATAATGTCTAGCCCTAAGCTTTCTAGAAGTATATATAGAAAACTAATTAGGAATGTAACAAAAAAAATGATCATATCCTAAAATCTCAAAAGGCTGATACAACATAATAACTAGAGAATTCAGCAAAAAAAGCCCCATATATCACATGCTTCATAGCAAACCAGTGAGTTGTGCTCGTGATACCACCGTCATGAGTAAAATATAGAAATATGACTATTGTATTGATTTGTTTAAAATTTTACAATATATATAGGTTGCATAAATTTTTATTTAGGTAGGAATTCAACATTAATCAATTGGAATTACATTCTTATATACAATAATTATGGAAATGATTCCAGATTAATTTCCTTAATTTAACAATATATTCTCTTCAAAACGTTTAATCAGTTAGTCATGCATGAGCCAAATTGGACACCGAGACTCAAATATGCAAACCTTTAATCTTTCAAATTTTCAGTTTAAAATTTGATCTTTAATCTTGATTCACATCAAAACATATATGTATTAATATATTAATGTCGTCATGACCATAAATTTGAATCACGGATTTGGCAAGAATCATCGATTGGAAGCACGGAACAGTGAGGCAAGCTGAGATTCATAAAAAAAACACAAGGACCCCCACGAATTGTATGCATACAAACCCTGTTATCAAAGTGAGAGTTTATGAGAAGGGGCACCACAATCCCACATTGGAAAAGCTGAAAAAGACTCTGGTCAGTGCACTGGGGGATAGAAGACGGTTCCTGCTGTAACTATGAATGATACAACTCATAAGGTCTCGAACGCAACAAGATTGCACCACAAGAATCGTATCTGGCTCACTTGAATACGTACAAAATTTGATGTGCCAGAAAAACTAATAAAAAGATCGATGAAAGTAAGAGACAGACAGAGACAGTGATTACACAAAAAACTGTGCATGCTTGACATTTGATCTTTCATGTGAGCCTAACAAGGCTTTCGCGCGATTGGATTAGTACAATCAGATACTTGCAAGTGACTGTGGCCCTGACTGACCATATTTAATCAGTGTCTCATCTCATTTAATTTTCTCTTGTTTTATTAGGGTTTTATTATTTTTTAGTGCCTAAACTTTTACTTGTATTCTAATGA